GTTTTTCTTTAAACCAGATTAAATTTAATAATGTATTCCGTGGAATATTTTAGACGAAGTATAATTAATAAAATAATTTTAATTATTTACTTTATAATTTACAATTCAGGTTAACTATTACRATTACGGATTAACATTTTTGTTGTACGATCTTTATATTTATATTTTATATCATTCATATTTATACGCGTTTCTCCAAAAYATCTCGACAGTTATTTTTTGTTATAAACTATTGTAATGCACGTTAAAACTTATCATGCTCTAATCCTTTATGTAGACCAAAAAAAAATCAAAATATCATATGCCTATAATGTACGGAGGCGACAAGTCACCACCGATCGGTAGAAATTCAAATATCATATAACTTGTTGATCACTTACATAGCGTTTATTCTATAGGTAGTCGCATATATTATGTTCTAGCATCCCGTTTACATTGATATATACGCATTTTCTGGTACAATGAAGATGGATCCGTTTTCGTACTTCAGGTCACCGTTCGGACCATTGCCGAGATCGGAAAACAAATACGCCGAATTCTTTAAAGACGTCGCGCACCCAAGGAATGACGTACAACACCGAGTAACCGTGATACCAAAAGAATTACGATTCGGTTACGTAAGGAATGCAAAAACCATGTCCTTTAATGTACGCAACGATTCCGACACGCCGCTTTGCATAAATTGGATTCACGGTTAAACATTAATTATATTCATAAAAAATTATCGTATACACATTACCACCTATCTGTCCAGCATAATCAAGTATACACATACCACTATACCTAATCAGTAGCGAATCTGAAGATAATTTGAATTGGTATCATAAATTTATAGGTACTATAACAAAAACGTAACTGAACACACATTTTCGATTTTCATATTAAAAAAAAATTACCTTTTTTTATATCATTTATTTATTAGTTTGAAGTTAATATTATGACTTATGAATTTTGTATTCAATTTATCATACGGTGCTATATGGTTAAACATATTTATTTATTCAAATAATTATCTAAAAACTTTATTTTTAAACGCACGCTCGCTGTAATAAAAATTCTCAGTAAAACGTTTCAAAAAACATATATTTTCTCATGGTATTCAGTTGTTTCTATTTAAATATTTAACRTTACATTTTTTTTATTATTATTATTATWAGAGGGAACCCACGGCAACATAGACCATTGGGTGTGGGATGATACGGTAGGAATTATTTTTGTGTATTTGTTTGTAGGTTTTTAAGATGGTAGGTTGTAACACGTAAATGTTTATGCAGTGTGTGGCAAGGCAGGGGCTTACCCAGGAATTTTTTATGGGGGGGTCCAACATTTTTATTTTATCTGTTCTCTAATTATAATTATAGTTTAATTCATTACCAACATATTACTGTTAATAACAGTAATAATAATAGTTACAATAGTTATACACACACTCACAGCACATATAAAGAAAGGTTTACTACACTACTATTGACTATAAATACTAAATAATACTAGTATTTATAATTTATATTTATACCTACCTAAATTTCATTACAAAAACKAGTTGATACCTACTTRCCCTGTATCTCGTAAACAAATTAGAGCCTTGGCGGTAGGAGTAAAATTACACTGATTAAATATACCTATATTGGCATTATTGTGTAATTCGTACTTTAAAAATTAATACTGTAATATTTTAACCCTTCAATTTAATCATAATACTGAAAACAACAAGATATTAAATTKAATGCAAACACAAATTACAAGGAAACCTGGTATAGTTAACRGCTAGGCTAGCGGTGGAAAACGACAATTTTCACCAGACTTATAGCATCTACGGCTCTACGTCTAAATATTAACCTGGGGTATATATATTATATATTATAACATTATCCTTTCTCATACACAGAACCCGGCAGTGATAATTCTTTCGCAATAAGTCCAAAACAGTTTTATATCGGCAGTCATGATTCGAAAAGGCTGAAGTGCGTGTTTCAACCAAAATTCGTTTCAAATATTTACTTTGTTGAGTTCGAAGCATCTGTCCATTTCGGGGCCACCGACTCTCCGCGGCCGTTGGATTGTTACACTGGATATGACGCATTTCCAATGCCCACATACGTCGCTCCAATGAGCATTTCAATAACGGTCACTGGTACGCATATGCAAAGATTATATATCTGATCTATTTAATATAAGACAYTAMGAAATAATATAGAACTTTTTTATATTTTTACTATTTTAAGTTTTTTACTGTTTGAATAACAACATACATTTTTAATTTACATGGTTTCAAGTTGTTCAAAAACCAATGTTTTTATTAAAAA